CGGCCAGCCACATCAGCTGTGTCCCCTTATCAGCGGGCTGATGCCAAGGGCCAGGTGAGCAGGACCTGCGCCCAGGACGATCATCCAATTAGGTGCATTTGTCCAATTAGGCAGATGTCACGGGCCGCGGTGAAAGATGGGCACCTGCGCCCGCTTCCGGTGCCAAGGCGTTCTTCGGGCAAAACGGTGATTACGCTTCACAAGGATGATGAAAAGAATCGATTGGCCCTTTTGCGGCGCACGACCGCGGAGCTCACTGGAGTGAATATGAGACATACGCTTCCGTCTCATCCAATTCCGGCCGGTGGGATCTGCAGGGGGGGAGGATACCGGGATCGGCTGTGGTGTCCTCACCTACGGCGCCACCTGGAGTTTCTTTATTAATCCCCTGCTGCGCCTTGGTGCCAGGCCCGTTTCAGGAAGAGCCTTTTCTTAAACATCCCATTGTACGTATGGCTCTCCACCATGGAATCGAGATGCCAGTTCTACTGGGGTCTAATTCATTCCCCTCCAAAAAAAAAGCTGTAGCGATTCCTCAGCAAATGACCCCTGGGCCGGCGCCACATGGCGCCGATCACATGACACCATTATAAGAGCTCGTTTCATATTTACATCCGGCCGCCTACCAAAAATCAATGGACATAAAGCTGGTGTTCTGATCGACCTGGCGAATCCCGCAGTTGCATGCGCTGGCGTGCCTGCATTTCTCCACGTTCAGGAATTTTGGTTTCCTCAGCTGCCGTATAGAGTACTGGTGCCCCATAATGCACTGCTTTAATCCCTGAGTTTACTGGGATAGACTCAGTATAACCCAACTGGTCAAGCTGCTGCTGAAAGATGGATGGATGGATGGCTTGTTTCTCTGGAAACAGATGGCAATACATTTATAGTAAAAGTAAAGCACTGCTTCACATCTATAAGCCATAGCTCAGTATCTGTCCACCATTATCTAAATGGAGAACTGGCAAGGTGCCCTTGATCACCCACGTTCCCGCGGACGAAGCTGAGGAAGATGAGCACAGGCTGCAGCTGCCCAGTTTAAAAGCACGCCGTCCTGCTCATTTGCCCTCCCCCCTTCTCGAATGTGTGCCTTTCCCCCATATGTCTTTCTTTCTTACCCTCCGAAAGGCGCACAGAATCCGTCAGCGAGCAATGCCGCTTTGCTGTGCTCTGCCAGAGCCGCAAAGAAGCAGCGGAAACAGCGGGAGCAGCTCAGAGGGGACAGAGGGAGGGGGAGAGAGAGAGAGAGGGAGAGGGGATGGGAGGTTGAGGACTGAAGTGGGGGCTGGCTGTTCTTTGGGAAAGAAGCCAATGCAATTACAGTTAGCGATGCAGGGCCTGGCTTCCCAATTCACATTTCAATTTCCACTCCCCAGTCTCTCTCTTTGTCTGTTTTCTTCTTTTTCTCTTTCTATATTTCTGACTCTCACTCTCTTTCTCTGTTTCTCTTTCCCAGTCTATGTCCCCCAGTCTCTGTCAGACTCTCTCTTTTTCTCTTCCCATCTCACTCCACTTCTCCCTTCCTCTCTCTCCTCCTCTTTCTCACTCTGACTCTCTTCCCCCTCTCTCTCATCTCCCTCCAGTCCTCTCCTTCTCTGTCTACCTCTCCCTCTGACTCTCTTCCCCCTCTCTCCATCTCTCCTCCCATCCCTATCTTCCCCCTCTCTGTCCTCCACTCCCTCCCTCACACTCTCTTCCCCCTCTCTGTCCATCTCTTGTGAGTGCTACGAGTCTCACAGAGCAGCGGGTCTCCAATTCAGGCACAAAAATAAACAAATAAAGCAACCCCCCCCTGAGCCCCCAGCCTGGCAGCAGCTTATCAACTCGCTGCAGTGGGTGCAGGCAGCTCCTGAAATCCCCTACAGACCCTCTCCACAGGAGTCACACGGGCACGGGCTCCAACGCCCACATGCCGCCAGTGGTACTGAGCCACGTCTTAGTGAATGATGTGGCCACGCCCCCTCACGCTAAGCCCCGCCCCTGGAACTGGGTCAGAGATGATGTTGGGACTCTCTACTGCCTTTCCCAGCTGCATCACAGCAGGCTGAAGAAGCAGGACCATCCACACAGAGGCAGCGTGCGATATGTGGGGGGTCGTGTGACACGGAGGGATGGGGGTTGGGTTCCTGTCTCATTAAATTTAACCATGTAGAAAAAAAGTCATAAATAATGTAAGTAATTCATATAAGAGGATTACACAGCCAGGAGCAGAGTAAGTCCTGGGAGCAGGTTTATAACGGAATAAACACACAAGAGCGGCCCCATGTCCGATAGTGTGCGTCTACATGCGAGGAAAACACTATTACTGAAAACAAGCCCCCCCCCCCAAAAAATTAGAGTTGTAAGCTCCTGTCTCTCTCGCCCGCCTCTTCCAAGAGGACCCCCCACAACCAACCCCCACCCTGAGTGGCGTCGGCTGCTGTTCGTGTAGGATGGAGGAGACGGGAGAAAGTGTCTGTCTGTCTTTAGAGCAGGAGCGTATGCAGGGGCGAAGCCACAGGGGCGCTGGCCCCAGATGAAAGCTGATTGGCTCCCGCAGTGCCCCCTCCCCTGTCATTCACCAATTCAAACCATATCATTGGCTAATGATAAGACTGGACCCTCTGTATTAATTATGGCCCCTCTTATGCCCTCCATCCAGTCTTAATGACCCCAGGCCACGCTGCCCCACCACATTGGCATTGATAACGTGCTAGGCACCAGTGCTAACCCATATTACCGTAAACCTGTCAAAGGTAGCGGTTCTGTGAAGATTAAGCAATGCGGTTTCCCTTCAGATAAACAGGCATTAATAATCCTCATGCTCACTTCACACCCGCTTTACTCATAGATTATAAAATGAATAAATTTACGTTTATTTTTTCTGAAGACCCACTTTCTAGGCCTGGAATGCCATCCCATGTGGCTTCTGCCTCATGCCCAGTGCATTCTGGGATAGGTTCCAGGCTCCCAGTGACCCTGGACTGGGCAGGCAGTTATGGATGGATGGATGCATTATCATTACACAAATGGTAATTTATGAGCCCATCTCTTGTATTTCTGTATCCTCAGGGGCAGGAAGTCATGTGGCGGTTGCAGGAAGTCATGTGACGGGGGCAGGAAGTCATGTGACCGCAGGATCTCCCAGGACCTGGATGGGTCCTGGCACACTCCCTGCCTCCCCATCGGCGTGTCTCCTGCCCCTGCCACCACGGTTCCCCCCTGCTGGCATACCCCTAACATGCCGGGAGCGCATCTCCCACCGCGTTACCACATAAGAAATAAACAATTAAGTTTCCGTGCCCCGACAATGAGCTTCCTGTTTACCACAAGTGGCGAGAATCAGCCTATGGAATGTATGAATATTTCTTACATCCGAGACACAAAGAGAGGCAGCCCTTAGGAGCCAGTGATGATGAACCACACAAAATAACCAGCTTCGCCATTCACCAATGCCGGGGTGCATGGTGAAGGAAGTCCCCCCCCATTTAGACTGACCTTCTTAAGCCGGCCGCTCTTGGTGCCCACGAAGGCCACGCAGTAGCCATTGTAGACGTAGGCGGTCACGGCGGTCATGTGGTCCCGGGTCTCCGTGTACAGCGTGTGCCCCGTCACCAGCTGTGAGCCGCCCAGGGGCTGGTTAATGTCCAGGCCGCAGAAGGAGTCGTCGATGGGCACGGGCTGCGGAGGAATGGGGAGAAAGGGAGTGAAAGAGCGAAAGAAAGAGAGAGACAGAGAGAGGGAGGTCAGTGAAGCCAATCCTCGACACCCCCCCACCCCCAACAGGCAGAGCGCCCCCGTTTCCCTGCTTTGCCGCTGCAGCATGTATCTCGTTCTGCTCCAGTGACCCGCACCTTGCGCGCACCCACCCCCCCCCCCCCCCCCCCCCCCCCCCCTTCACATTTGGCCATGATAACATCAGCGTGGAGAAAAGAGGAGGGGTGGGGGGGTCGCTCCCAGCCCAGAGGGCAAACCCACAGTCCTGCCGAAGAGCATGCAATCTTAATCAACCCCCCCATTAAGGCTGGCACAAAAAGCAGTGTGTTGATGCGCTTCCTCAAACAGTACACACATTAATTATGGAGGAAATTACAGCGCAGAGGCCCAGACTTCAGTGTTTTTCATGAGTCTTTTCTGGACATTTGAGTCGAGTCAAAGCTGCCAAAATGGGGTGTCGGACTCGCCTCTGACTGTAAGGGTCCTCAAGAGGAAGCGGGGTCTCAGGGCTACAGGAGGACACGCACACGCCCCCAAGAGACACACCGCTAGCCGTGTCCATAAAGTTTTTACAACCATCTACTGCTTTTCAGTTGAGAGAGAGAAAAAAGAAGAGCAATAAAGTCAAGGGGGCATAAATGTTTCAGGATGCATCAGCTTCCTGTTCTGGCATTTCCTTTTCTCTCCATCCCCCGAAATAGCACGGGAAATGTAACAGTAACCAGCTCCAATACAATCCATCACCAAGAAGGGCACCTCATCCACCTGATTTATAGCTCTTTGTGCAAGTAACAAACACCAGCCACGAAGCGGCTTCTACACTTTTTTTGCAACTATAATCGTCCGGTTTTTTTTTTTCGGGCTGGATATCGACCACAATGTTTGTTAATCAATAACCATAGCTGCCTTTATAATTAGCAAAGATTTATTATAGAAATGCCAGGCACTACGATTGCGCTATACTGTAACTGATAAAAGAGCAAAGTGACAGGACGAACAAGCGTGATAAATAAGCATTCAATGTATCTGATAATCATCTCTCAAAACAAAAGCTCTGTGGCAAATTCAACTGTCCGTTGCAGAACTGGTCTAACACGTATAAACGATTTGCACATGTAAATATAGCAGACAAATTTCAAATTCACTAATATAACGGCGCGGCATGTTATACAGGTTGTTGATGGACGGGAAGACCACGTTACATTACGTGAAGCACGCAAAACCGTTAAATAAAAACTGTATCTGCTATATAACAGGATCTAAACTGTTCAACTGCCTCATCCAGTGTGGAGACAATTTACTGTGAGATATTTTAACCGGAAAATATTTTCAAAAGTTAGTCGCGCAAACTATAGCTCATAACCGCCGTCAGGTGATCGCTGCATATTTTCAGCTGCATTAAATAAGGAGATATTCTTTGTGCTTTATAATTTCATTATAGTTAAGATACATATTTGCCAGAATCACCTGGGGTTAAAATGCTTTATAAAGCACAAATTATACTCGCCTCCCGTGTTGGAAATGTAGTGAAAAATGCTTAGTAATACGTTGCACGGGGTGTATCTTAAGGAGACACCGTAACCTTGGCGTTTCCTGGTGCCGCCGGGCATGTTCACAAAAATGCAGAAAATTACATGCAAACACGCGTTTCCTGGGACCTTCTTACGTTTACATTTAAGTGGTCCTAAACCTTAATAATGAGCAAATTTAACACGCCCGAATCGAGGAGGTGTTCCACAAAGTAAGATTTCTCAGTTAACAGTTAACTTAAGCTATAAGTCATGTTTGTCCGATGAAAGTTCATGTAAGGCGCGTTGTCATTGGCGCTGGCGGTGTGGTGTAGCGGTCAGTGCTGTCGCCTCACACCTCTGGCACCCGGGTTCGAGTTGCCGCCATGGCTCCCTGTGTGTGGAGTTTGCATGTTCTCCCTGTGTTGTCGGGAGGTTTCTTCCAGGTATTCCAGGTATCCCACAGTCCAGAAACTTGCTGAGGCTAATTGGAGTTGCCAAAGTGCTCATAGGTGTGTGTGTGTGTGTGTGTGTGTGCTGGTGCCACTTTACAATAAGGCTACCCAAATAAAGAGTTTCTGAATGATTTATAATCTGGTTATTATTTAGGTTGTAACACTTTGTAAATTATTAATAGACAATTTTAAACAGTTTTCTCTTTATTAATGGGTTACTACCATTTACAAGTGGCAAAAGGGAGCCTTATAAAGTGGTGCCCTTGTGCCTGTAGTCTCTGGAATAGGTTGCAGACCCCCTGCGACCCTGAATGGGAGAAGCAGGTACAGGAAATGGATAGATGGCCATTCCCACTGCACAATCATGACTTCTAGCTTAAGATAACCCAGCTAACAGAATTCTTGCTTTGTGGAACACCCCCCAGACCTTTGCCTATTACGTATCATGCCGTTAAAGTTAATTTAACTTTGCTTCCCGGCCTGGCGGGGGCTGAAGCGGTTCTCTGTGTACCCTGATCCCCGCGTCTGTGGGGTGCTGCCCAGGCCGGATTCCCCCCGATCCGAGGAGCATCCGGCGAGCGTTGTGTCGTTTGCTTTGTGTTTATGCTCGGATTATGTAAGATTAAATGCTTTTGTGGAGCAGACCGAGGCGAAATGGATTCAAAATTCTCCTATCTCATGTGAAATCGCAGCAGTTACAGCGACATCGTGAATCAAACCGGGTGAGGATGACAATGAAGCCTGGATGGGGGGGGCGATGTACTCTGTGTTTCTGGGGTTAGGGCTGGATGGGGGGGGGGTGATGTGCTCTGTGTTTCTGGGGTTAGGGCTG